AGAGAGAGAGAGAGAGAGAGAGAGAGAGAGAGAGAGAGAGAGAGAGAGAGAGAGAGAGAAGGTGAACGTTCGCCCCTGAGCGCCGCGTGTGTCGGGGGTTGCGAGCCGTGTCAGGATCGAGGGGGAGGGGAGGGGAGGGGAGGGGGAGAGGGGGGAGGCGCGCCGGGGGAAGGACGCCGGGCGTCGCGGCGCAGGCTGCCGCACCCAGCAAAGCGCCTGCTCCCCTTGAACCGGCAAAACGTATACCTGACGCAACCGTGGAGGAGACGGCGACGAGAACGCGCGTCGCTCCCGAGACACGCTGTTGCTAGGCGCGCTCGTTTTCGGTGCTTCCGTTTCTCCCATCCCTCCCATAACCCTCCACGGACCGCATCCGCTTCCGGTTTCCGCCAAGGTCAACCCGACTATCCCCCCCTGCGTTTATTATACCAGGGAAAACCAGGTTTTCCTTCCTTCTCCCCTGCTGTGTGTGCTTGTGTGTGTGTATATATATATGTATATATATCTGTGTGTGTGGGTGTGAGTGTGCGTATGCGTGTGCGTGTACGTCATCGACAACCACTTTGGTTCGGGCCGTGTCCGTGTCCCAGCACGCGGCGGAGAGGAGATTCGCAGATTCGGGAAGAAGGGGAGAGAAAAGGTATAAGAATAAGAAGGAACTGGGTGATGGTGTCGTAAGTGAGCGAGGAGGAAACTCGTCGTGTGTTTGGGGAATCGGTGTGTGGAATCGGGAGGAATCGGCACGTATGGGGCAGGAAGTGGCTCAAGTAGAAACTAGTGGGTGGGTGACGAGAGGAGAGGAGGAAGATTTCGAAGCGGCGTGTCAAGGTTGCACGACCTTGATTCGGTCAGCGACACGGGCAGCACGGCTACGCTTTGCAAAATCGGGCGCAGATTCGAATTTGCGTGCGGAGCACGCGTATCCCGTATCTCGCTTCCCTTCGAATTTTCTTTAAAATCCTCTCCTTCTTTTTTCTTCTTCTTCTTCTTCTTCCTCTTCTTCTTTCTCTTCCTCGATATAGATCGATTATTATTCTTGTTGTTGTTATTGCTCGTTTTTCATTACTCGTTTTCGAAATTTTATCTATGTAATGTAATAAGTAGTTTCGAATCGAAGAGAATTTTGTCTTACTTACTTTTATACCGTCTCGCTTCTCCCATTGGATCGATCCGATAACCGTTTCGATTTCCCTCGCTGGATTATTTCATCGCGCGCTCCGTCTATTACAGCGCACCACGCATACATACACGCTTTTGAAGAGAGGAACGTTTAACACGGAGAAACCGTTTAGGAAGCTCGCCTTAGGTTAATTACCGTACCAACGGGAATAACACTGCGGTGGTCGGACTCTGCGGAGACTCTGCAGACAGACGTGGGTGGTGTCCATCTTGAAATAGATCACATGCCTTGGCAGTCGTGCTGATTTTTCTTTCGCAAAATATATCATTAACCATTTTTCCATCGTCTTCTTCTCGAACTTGGTCGTTCGAAACGAGTTCCGATCGTATCGAAAATATTTTTCGAAAGTTTCGAAAATTTCCTATCTTCAATAACGAGCACCAGCTTCCTGTTCGCTTCGTTCCGTTTTTGGCGGAATTCACGCGGTCAAATCGCAGTCCCTGCAGTCCTGATTTATCGTTAGGCGGTGTCTTTGAGACAGGTTATGCTCATCGTCGCGGCACACGCGAGAATTCTTATCGATTTTGTATTAGAATATTGAATTGACCCCAGAATCGAGAGTTTTCCAACTGGAAACGCGATCGTATTGCTATTCTTTCTTTTCGATTCAAATTTTCCGCTTTTTCTCCTGTTCACGTTTGAAAACGATTATCCCTAGAAAGGAAATGCAGAAGAATCGAAATGGTCGATGATTACACCGACGAAATCGTGGACGTTCAATCTTTGGAGGAAAACTTGGTTAAAATTTTCGAGCGTATGCTCAGTGTCCGTGTGTTTCCAACGGCGATATCGATTCGAAAGTGGCGATATAGCGAATGCACCGGAAAAGGAAGAAACATCGAACAACGAAGTAATTGAATGGAAATCAGCCTCGTGTGTCCAACGCGCGTTTTAAACCGTATATGTGACCGTTCTTCCTCCAGAAATTTGTGCTTAACTTTTTTTTTGTTGCCTGCTTTTTTTTGGTGCGATAAAATCGATCAAAGTGCAAACAAGCAACAGTGAAAGAAGAAATTTACGTTCTAGAAAAAAAAAGTTTCACCTGATTGTGCGCCGATGAAAACAGTGACTAGTGGTGGGTGATGATCAGTGGGCCCACCGTTTCGAATGAAGTGGTTTTAGGATGATGGTGGAGCGTGTCGAGGACCATCTCTTCATGTATCGACGTCCCGTTTACCGGGTCTTCCAGTACCTCGAAACCACCGAGTAAGTAAAAAAAAAAAAGAAAAGAGAAACATGTGATTATTCAATTTATCTCCTTATTCTAACCGATACTAAGAGACAAGTGAAAAAAACGATCGACAAATGTAAAAAGATCGTGTTTCTCTTAACGAATCGAATCTCCATAATAACGCGTATGAGAGGGCTTTTGAAAAGTTTGGCCGGAGGGTTTTCTTTCCTTAGACATGGTGGGTATCCAGCTGTTAGAATCTCGAGGACTTCGAAACAACCGTTTAAACAAAAGGGGTTGACTCGTTTGAAGAGCGCGCCCAATGGCAATTTGCGTGCATAAAAGCTTTGAGAGAGAGAGAGAGAGAGAGAGAGAGAGAGAGAGAGATAGTTTCGTAAACGGATTCTTCCTTTCGTGTTACGTCGATGGGAACGAGTAACCATGGTGAAATTATCACGAGATCGGTTCCACTTTGCTAATTGCTTTTATTGAAGCTCGAATAACATGGTTCGTTACGGTGGCAAATTTTCTCGCCCGTTTCTCGGAGATTGAATTATCCACTTTTCTATGTGTTCAAGTCTCTCGATACTTTCCGATCGAAAAAGATTCGTACTCGATTAAATAAGTAGATATTATTATTACTTATTCGCGGTACAGTTAAGGAAAAAGTTATATAAGTAGTTAGAAAAGTGTTGAAAATGAGAAAAGTTTAAGAGAAAAAGTTTGGAAAGACGTCTGCGACGATTCGCAATAGCTTAAACACCGATAGATATGTATTGTTCACTGGAAAGAAGTCTCGCGGAAAGGATGCGGAATCCGATTGGTTAATTTGGGAGGAAACGCCTACTTTCCACACGCATTTTTGTTTCTATCATAGTATTTGTCACATATACTAATTCAAACGATTTTTATCTAAACCTTGATGCATTAGTGTAAACATAGAAGTCAGAGAATTCTAACGTACATAATATATAAATTTTTTTATTTCTCATAATATGTATATATATTATTATGATTTGTAACAATAATTTAATTTATAAATGTAATTTTGTATTCGAATAATTAAAATAATAATTGAATAAGTTAGACATACTATAGATATATTAATATTATATCGAAATAATTAATAGTTTCGAAAATATTTTAGTTTTTAATCTTAGATGATTATTCTAACATAACTTCATAAATAAAAAATAATTTTTTTACAATTTTGAACATTCGAATTATATCTTTTCTACTACTATGAGTAGTGTTAGAATTGTCAACAAAGCGTCTGAAGTGGGGATAGGCAGTCCTAACGAAGGACTTTTTTTTCCTCTGTGCCGTCCTGCGAGACTTTTTTCTAACAGTGAACAGTAGCTATATTTACGCTTTGTCTCTCCTCCGATCCAATATTCTTTCGCGGAAAAAACTGAAAGCAGAATCGATGCGAGCTTTGAAATGAAAAGAGCGTATCGTTAAACTCGATTTTCATTATTCAAGAAGATTCGGTCGAGGTTCAACGAACCTTTCAATTATAATTTTAGATCCAATGTCTGGAGTAATTTCATCATTTTTCGTGATGAGAGAACATCGAATTTTAATTTTATGGCAAATTACTTAAGTTTCTAGAATTGTAATATTAATAAAGTCGATTACTCGAATAAAAATTTTCGTATTTAATGAAACACGATTTCGGATAGGAGTGGAAACAAGTTAGAAACGAGCTTGGCTGAGTGAAAGCTTATTTCTGCTACTTCTCTACTTTATTACTTGATACATTTTCCATACGATTAACGAGATTCTTGCCACTATAGAAATTCAAAATATTCCAAGAAAAAATTAATTAGAGAAGAAAGCGACTTTCGAATCTCGAAAGATGTGATATTATTTATGCACATTCCATACATTAATCGATATATATATTATACATCTGTATTAATATATTTATTAATACTGCAATATAATGATGTAAATTATATTTCGATATAATAGTACGCTAACCGATACATTCCGCATTCTCTTAATCTTCCATCTTTCGCCTAAATGTCATTAAACACCGGTAGCTCATTATCATCGCGAACCTTTCACGCCGCAACTTGATCGTGTTGCGAGACCCGATATTTTACATTTCTCCTATCCACCATTTCCTTATCCAAATAAATCCGATAAATTAATTTAATTTTCTCATTTCCGATCCCGGTTATTAACCGTTTAATCGAAACAGGAATGAAAGGTAAAAAAATTAAGAAACTATCGGAAAGTTTGATAGATAGCGGAACGATCGAACGTCTCCAGGCAGTCTGTTCGCGCCGACACGCGAAACAACTCGATCGCCATTCCGTTTATTTACGCCGTAGGAATTGCGGTAACCGTGGCGATTTTTCACCGACGTCCCACGCGGCGTTGAAGCCGCGGTGAAACAGAGAGGAAAGAAAGAACGGCCGGTCGGAGAACGGGGGGGATTGGATCGATCAGTTTCTGGTTGACGCGCGACGTCGAGACACCAAGAGCGTGCAAAGCGTTGTGTTCGAGTAAATTGGTTTCTCCTCGAGGGGGTGGGTGGATCGCGGAAGAAAAGGCGCGGGAAAAGAGAGAGAAGAGCGGAATTCGCATTTTTTCGTCTTCGCGTTGAAAACTATCCAAGCGGCGGATGGAGGAGAGGTAGAAGCAGTCACCGCGAAATTAAAATACGTACGCTATGTCCGTTCCTCGCCTCTCCTCGTCCCCTCGGTACTGTAACTGCACGGTGCCCGAGCATAAGGCTTAGAACCACTCCGGCCAGATGTAATTCAATTTGGTAAAACGAGACCCATGCGATCGTTTCGACACGGCGTCTCGATTCGCCTTGCATCGATCACGAGAGAATCGAGTGGACACGGTGTTGTGCGCTTCGAAGGAATCGAGTTACCGGTGGATGAAGGAAAGCGGAGAGGAAACGGATACCCGGACAACGACTATGACTATGGGGATCGATCGTCGATCGAGCAAATTTTCTTTAATTATCATTCGTCTCGAAGGACGATAGACGATTTTTCCCTCTCTTCCTCCCTCCGACCCCCTCCCCCAAATATTTAGGAATAAAAGGGGATTATGTTGGAACTGGTGGAGCGAAAGGCCGGCGGGATCTCGTGGCCGAGTTGTCGAGGTGAAAACTTGGAATCGGTGGGCAAAGATCCGAAGGAGATGTTGTTTCTCGGGCAAAGGGACAAAGCTTGCCCGAGAGGGGGCAAACGATGGAAGAGAAAAAACGGGGGAGGTGGTTTACTGTGCTCGTTGGGCCAGCTGAGATGCAGCCATACCTACTACACCCCTGACACGTTGGGCACGTGGAAATTTCACAGGGTGTCTCGTCCAAGAAGGTAAAATCGAAACGCGATTAAATATAATGTTTTCAAGGCGAAATAGGGGGAAATGAGGAAGCGAGGATCGCGAGTTTTCGCAGCTCGCGTAACGAAGGTAAGCAGAGGTAAGCGAGCCTCGTTACGCGGCTGTGACGATGCAAGAGCGCAATAGAGAAAGTAATAGTGAAAGGTAAAGTGCGTGGGCGACAGTCGCAGGTGCGTGGTGGTTCCGATCACGGCGAGTCGAGCCGAGCCGAGCCGGTCCGTGTCGGGTCAGGGACAAGCTTCATCTACTCTCTCTCTCTCTCTCTCTCTCTCTCTCTCTCTCTCTCTCTCTCTCTCTCTCTCTCTCTCTCTCTCTCTGTTTCTTTTTTTCTTTTATCTTTGCACCCTTCGTCAATAGAAACGACTCGAGGGTTTCGTTCTCCCTGGAAAACACGATCGAAATTTCCCCTCGTTTTCTCCTTTAGCTTCTATGGAAAGAGTTAAATCTTCGTTGCGTTAAACAAAGATATATCATAATTATAAGTGACAAAGATTTCTGATCGTTTTGGCGCGCAATTAACGAGATTAGAAATTATTTAATATTGCCGCGTACAATTGAATTAATTCCGCCCGATTTAGCCAGCCACGAAGACGAATAGTCGACGGGAAATGAATATTGATCGCGTGTTCCGAAAACTGGTCACGTGTCCCTCGTTACATCTCGATTTCAAAGAGATTGCCATCTCTTCTCGCGACGGCGACGTCGCGCCAATAATGCTATTTAATCAACCACGCCGGTTGCACAACTTGCTTACTTCGTTACTTCGACCACCCGTTCTACTTCGTTAAAAAAATCTCTGTGTGGAATGGGATTGCACGCATCGCGCGCGTAATTGCAATGGACAAAGTCGAATAGCCGGTGGTTCCCTGCGTAAACGTCTCGTCCCTGACCGACGACGGCATTCCTTAGCCGGACGACGCTCGTAATATACATTTGCATTAATAGCACACGATGCGAGCACACGGCTCGTCAACTTTTCGAGCAAAGAGGAGGCCAGAGACGATTTCGAGCGATGCGACGATGTTGCCATTCATTCCCGCAGGGATCCTCAATGTGTTTTTCAATGCCCCCTTTTCATCGCTCGAAATTGAAATAATCTTAATAACACGACAACAAAAGTGAGAACAAAAATCCATCTCTGATCGAAACACCAACTCCTTTCTTGAATTCCTCTTCGTTCTCTTTGGGATGCATGCGACTCGAGCACAGTGAATTGATACGAGTGGAAAGGGAAGAAGTAGACGCGCGTATATACGTTACTTAAACACGTGCGCAGTCTCCTTTTCACAACTTTTCGTCGCGTTTCGTTCACGCTACGCGAAATTTCTATCGCGGCAACAGTGCATAATCTATCCTCGCCATCGCTGGATACGTTTAGGAGGGAAAAAGAGGAAAGGATTTTTCTTTCTCGATCGACGGGAACCACGACCCAACTAATTTATCGTATCTGGCATTTTGTTAGCTCATCTTGTAGCATCATCGGTGGAAGCTTTCTTCGGAAAAATGTGAACGATACGCGGTCTATACATGTCGATTCATCGACAAAGCTCGCATGATTCAATATAACCATGGATATGGAGGATGTTATCGTGCAAATTTTAATCTTAACGATAAGAATTGAAAGTCGTCAAAGTATCTAGTCGTTTCTCATCATTTCCGAGAGTGAAACCTCGGGAAAAACCAGGTCTCGACGAAAATGGTAATTAACGAATGTATCGCGAGTATACTTTTATGTTTTTGTAACGCGCGAAGAACAACTGCATACAATCATATTTGTAATTGTTTCGCGTAAGTATATTGTCGCGAACTGTGTGTGCCCCTCTCTCTCTCCTGTAAATGGACGACGGAATAGCAAAAATTGAAATTTCTCTTAATGAAATTATTCATTCGTTTTGCAATTGCTGTTACTCGGGCGAGATTTTATCGATGTGTATCGAGACGATTGTGGTAACGGTCATTTTCCTTTTCGCGCAGCCATGAGGGGATGAGCACTGGCGTAGGAGATGGAGCTGGTGGAGGCGGTGGCGGTGGGGGCGGAGGCGGCGGCGGCGTGCAGGGAAGTGGAGGCGGAAGAAATACACCACCCCATGGATCACCCACCCCCATGGATAAGGCGACTTTGAAGGTCCATCTGCCTAACGGTAACGGTCTCCATCTTTTCTCTCTCGAATGAAATGATAATCAAAGTGATCGAAACGGAACAAACATTTTTTCGAAAGAATTGCTTCAAACAAGAGTGTATATTATTGATAACAATTATTCGATCGATTTTTAGGTGGTTTCAACGTTGTTAAATTCGGTGATGCGATCGATGTGAAAGGTATCATCACTTTGGTGACTAGTCGGCTAGCGGTTGGAACCAGACACTATCATAACCTTTACGCCATGAGACTGCATCATCCTGGATCGGGAGAGAGTTACTGGTTGCATCAGGACACGACCATGTATCAGGTATTTTTTTTTCTTTTTCTTTTTTTTTCGAAATTCAACGCCAATAATCGTTCATTATTATTATAATCAGGTTCAAGAAAAGTACGAAAAGAAACATCCTCATTGCGAGTGGAGGTATGAGCTGAGAGTACGATACTTGCCACAGAATCTCAACGATCTGTACGAGAAGGACAAAGTGACCTTCTATTATTATTACGATCAGGTATCTTCTTCGAAATCTATTTTTATACTTCGATTTTCTAATGTATATATATATATATATATATATATATATATATATATATATATATATATATACGTTGAACGAATATAAATCAAATTGTTTGTACTATAGGTTCGAAACGATTATCTGTGCGCGAATCACGCGGCTCTCGATCAGGACGTGGCGGTGCAATTGTGTTGTCTAGAAATTCGCTACTTTTTCAAAGATATGCAACAGATCGCTCTCGACAAGAAGAGCAATCTCGAGTACCTGGAACGAGAGGTATGGATACACAGAAAAAAAAAAAAAAAAAAAAAAAATATCCTTAAAAACTTTTCAACTTTTTGACAGTTTCCAAGTTTCGTTTAAAATATCGTCACGTTCGATTCACAGGTCGGCCTGCACAAATTTTTACCACGATCCGTGTTGAATGGAATGAAACCAAAGGCGTTGCGCAAGCTAATACAACAACACTTTAAAAAGGTTGCGGTATTGTCGGAGCTAGAATGCATGTTCAAATTCTTCGATCTTCTGCGTGCTCATTATAGATTCGATCAGGAGAGGTTTATATGCGCTTTGGGGGTGAGATTCAGTTTTGATAAATTAAGAAAATTGATCAATTCCTCCATCGTTGTTTAAATTTTTTTTTTTTTTTTCTTATGACAGTCGAGCTGGTCTATACCCGTAGAACTAGTCATTGGACCAGATTTAGGCATATCTTATATGGCTCATAGAGGTGGGACGGTGGTCAGTATTAAGCAACTTTCTTAAACAACTTTCTGTACGTGTTTTCTTTTACGTGTCCTGTCATCGTACGATTTTTTTTGTAGCCAACGAGAATCGCGGAATTCTCTCAGATACAATCTATCCAAACGCTGGTATCCGATTGCAAGGAACACGCAAAAGCCTGTATTAAATTAAGAATAGCCGGAGCTGCTGAAACGCTTAGTATCACGTGCTCGAGTTTAGACCAAGCGGAAAGTCTCGCGGATTTGATCGACGGTTATTGCAGACTTGTCACTGGAACCAATACCTCGTTGTGGAACAGAAAAGGTATATATGTACAGTAGCATTTTGCTCGAAATATTTAAGCAGCCGTAAAGACGGGCATGCTTCATGAATAAATTATTTTCGATTTTTTTTTTTTTTTTTTTTTTTATTCTCTTTTCGCATTTTTAAAACGGACAATTTCGATGTTGATGCGAACGAACGTTTTTCCTTTAGCTTTTCTCGATATTCGTGATAGTGTGTCGAAGAAAGAGACTTGTTTACAAATATTTAGCTCCATTGTATTTTTACAATATAATCGTATATATATTTCACTTTCCAAATATCTCGCACGAATTTCCCCTCTTTTTTTTTTTTTTTTTATGTTATACGAAAGATACTAAGTTATATAATCGTTTACACTTCCAAGCTGCATCGTGGAAAAATTATCCCTGTCCATGCAAAGGTTTGTAGTTTTGAATGACCCCATACCGTAGTTTAGAGTGATCTTTAGAATGATTGCACGACGAGTTTGAACGACGTTCATTCGCGATTATTGATTGTATCCCTCGCTTTGAAATAGATGCTCATCCCCCAAAATACAGACAAGACGGTTCCAATAGTCCGGAGAAAAACGTAAGCAAAACGGGGACTATTTTGTCGGAGGACTACGCGGAAATTGTGGACGAAGAAGGAGATTATTCGACTCCAGCTAGTGAGTATTAAAAAAAAAAAAAAAAAAGGAAGAAAAATAGAAAAAAAGAAACAAGATTATTTTTGTATTTTATTTGTATGAAAAAAAAAATTTTTGTTAAACTTTGATAATTTTCCAGCCAGAGATTACGAGATAGTTAGGAATCAAGTGGAATTAGGTGAAATTATTGGAGAAGGTCAATTTGGCAATGTACATAAAGGTTCATACAAAGGGCGGGACAATCAAGTTATACCAGTGGCGGTGAAAACCTGTAAAGTCGATGCAGATCTCGCGACGTCGGAGAAATTTCTCGAGGAAGCCTGTAAAGAAATTTTAATTGAACTCTCAATTGAATCGACAACGAATGAAAGTTTAGAAATGACATCTATGATATATGCGTATAAATTTCAGATATAATGCAACAATTCGAGCATCCTCATATTATAAGACTTATCGGTGTATGCTCGGAACCACCCATTTGGTTAGTAATGGAATTAGCCAAGTTGGGAGAGATGCGAGCTTATCTGCAATCGAACAAACATCGTCTAGATCTCGCCACTCTTCTACTTTACACATTTCAATTGAGCACTGCCTTATCGTATCTCGAAAGCAAGAAATTTGTCCATAGGTACTTTCGATTAAAATTATCGAAATTATTGATTGAAGAGAATCTCTGATAATTATATTTCGTATTCTAAATATATTTTCATCGACTTATTTTACATATACAGGGACATTGCTGCGAGAAACGTGCTAGTTTCTGCGCACAATTCCGTAAAATTAGCGGATTTTGGTCTTAGTAGGTGGGTGGAGGATCAAAGTTATTATACAGCAAGTAGGTGTAAGTTGCCCATTAAATGGATGGCACCGGAGAGTATTAATTTTCGAAGATTTACTACATCTTCTGACGTTTGGATGTTTGGTAGATATTTCTTTTTTTTACAACGAATAAATTTCTTTTTCTTTAATATTCCAAAAAATGTAAAACAATTTTTCTTTTATTCTTCTAGGTGTATGCATGTGGGAAATTTTAATGTTAGGCGTAAAACCATTTCAAGGTGTAAAAAATAACGAAGTGATCCGTAAATTGGAAAACGGAGAAAGACTTGCATTACCGAATCATTGCCCTCCACGATTATATTCTTTGATGTCTCAGTGTTGGAGTTACGAACCGAGTAAACGACCAACGTTCAAAGAGATCAGGGAAACTTTACAGTACGTGATGCACTTTCATCTTGTTCTTTCTCGATTCGATATCTTTTCCATTACGAAAAATTATTAAATGTTGCAGTGAAATTTTATTGGAAGAGAAACATCAGCAACAAGAAACGATGAGACGGGAGAACAGAAGAGTACAAGCCATGTCTTGGGGTACGTATAATGAAAAATAAAGAAAACAAGGAACGCGTTTATATAAAGCTTCGATTCGAGATATTTTATGGTGCACGTAGCGGATAATCTCTCGTCATTTATAGGGGCAGACGATGTACCGCCACCGAAACCTTCGAGGCAACCGCAAAACACGACGGATCAATCTCAGTTAACCGCCGCAGCGCCGGTCTCGACATATATTGTTGCGCAAAATCCCGAGGTTCTTGCGCAACTTCTCAAGGATAATCAAACTAGGGGGGTATGTCCCTCCGTCTACACAACCCCTGCCTCGCCTTTCAATACCTTAGCCGTACAATTTCAAGACGAAGATCAAGTCTTAACCACTGCTTTAGTTTCAGATCTACCCTTTTTCGATCCAACCACTTCAGAACCTTCCGCCTCTCATGACACTCATTCGGGAGATTCCACTTTGTCCGACACTAATTTGGATTCCCTCGATTCCTCGGACACTCCTCTCATGTCTAGTCTTAACATTTCAGACGCGACACAAGCTCAATCCCCCGCTGCTAACAGAAAGCAGCAGAAGGTTAAAGAGATGCAAAATTTGTACGCGGTTAGTTCAAAAGTTGTTGGTAGCATTGCAGGAGATTTGTATTCTCCCGTGCAAAAATTCACAACGTCCGGTGCTATTCCAATAACAACTAGCGTAGCTACTTGCGGCGAAATATACGGGCCTGTCGCTAATTTCACCCAAAGTTCCGCCATCGTTGGTAATCTTAGTCAAAGCCCCAGTGTAGGTGGTAATTTTGGTGAAAATCCTGGAAATTTTGGGCCCAGCAGCTTGAATAGTATCATAGGATTGAATAATCAAAATCAATTGTCAAATTTCGGCCAATTCTCTAATAACACGAACCAAGCTTTTAACATTGCTCAACCGGTCAGCCAAAATTCTAATTGCATACAAAATCCTACAACCGCTGTCGTGTATCCCCGTATACCGGTTGTTACTTCGAGTAACGCTGCTATTTCTGCATCCAATACGGAATGTTTGTACGGACCTGTGTTAAAATTCCGAGCGCAAAACATCCAAAACCAAAATGTAACTGATTTGAAATCCGTAAACGTGTCTGTTGGAACTACCATGGCGAATGTTAGAGGCAATTTAGCGCATACTTCTACTCCAGGACCAAACCTGCAAACACGACCTGCACACGCTCAGAATTATCAACATCAACAAATTTATTCGAATATAAGTACAGCGACACCACAACCGATGTATATGCCGCAGTCGCAGAATGCGCAAAACAATCAAAAACAAAATCCAATTCATCAATCTGTTTCTTACATCCCGTCGCAACATACGAATCAACAAAATCAAGCAATCAGCGCTAATCCAATTTACACGGCGCAAGCGACTTCTGTTACGGTCGTGCAAGCTCAGAAGGTTCAAGGTCCTGTATATGTGCAACAAATTCAAGCTGGAATTACGAGCCATGTGCCGAGTTCCCAAGCGATGAACGTGAATCAGCAGCAATTGTCTTTTGAAATAGCACAAAGTCATCCCATTCAAGTGCATTTCGCCACATCGGGTGGTACGGTCCAATCAACTAGCCAGCAACACCTTCATCCGAGCACATCTAACATTGTAATCGGTCAACAATCAAGTTCCATTACTGCCACGCAACATAGTCAAGCACAATGCAACGTAGCGAATCTGCCAATTACTGCTGCAACAAACGCAACGCAGTATTTAGTACAGCCAATAGTACAATCAGGGATGATAAGATCTACTCCCACACCTCAAATAGCAACCGGTGTTGCAAAGATCACTACATTCGTAAATCAAAAGCAAGATGAACAACTAACAAGTTCGACAGATGGCACACTCTCTGGATCACTGATATCCTCTGCAGTCAGTGATAGCACAATGTCATCGAGCAGCTCGATGACAGAGGAGGCACAGCAAGATCAGGTTTGGCAACGCCTCCTAGGAATGAAAATCGCATCCTTTATCTGCAACAGCATATTGTTTTTATTTATAATTCGAAATTCTTGCAGCACTATACTTTTGTTGCAATTCAAATATATATATATATATATATTCAATACATATATATATACATACATGCATAGATACATACATATATATATACATACATAGAACATACATATATATATACATACATAGATACATACATATATATATATACATATATACACACATACATATACATGTATATATACAATGTATATTGCTTTGGTATATGCAGTTACGGTCACACATTAGTTTGTTTAAATTTACACAATGACCCTTTTTTTTCATTTTATACATAACTAGATGGTACTTTTTATTCATAACTGAAATGAATTTTATTTTGCAGTTTTGATAGGCTAATCTGTTTGCATGATGAATGGAGATAATATTATCATTATAACAATCTGAGCTGCATGTAATTATAATTGCACTACTATTTTCTGAAATTGGTTTTGCATCAAGAATTATGCATCTCTTTAATTTTATTATGTACATATGTTTATTAAACTCGTTGAAACAGTGAATTATGATTACAACGATTACGAACGAATCGATAAAAATTGAAACGAATTTTTTTCTTTCAGAGGATCGTACAATCACAGTTATTCGATAGCATCACGGAAAATTTCAGCAGTGGTATTGACGATGAACAAAAATTATTAGAACAACGACTTTTAGAACAGCAGCGTCAATCGGAAGAAGATAGTCGTTGGTTAGCAAGAGAAGAGGTGCGATTAATTACTTGCATCTTTCATATTTACAATGAATAATTTGGTTTAATATTTTCTCTAAAAATCTTTATTTCGATATTTAGAAACGTCTATCCATTGCGACGAGTGGAGATGAAAGCGCGAGTCCTCCAGTTCCACGTTCGGTTACTCAATCACCAAGTCATGAACAGCATGGCGCTAATACTGGTTCTATAGGATCTGATAAAAGTACCGAAAAAGTAATCGTTGTAAAGGTAATTTTTCTAATTAAAAAAATAATTTTTTGAAATCATGAACAAAATTATAAAAAGAATGTTTATTTTATAGAAAATGGAACCTACACCAACTGCCGATCTAGATAGGACGAACGATAAAGTATATGATTGTACCACTAGCGTAGTTCGTGCAGTAATGTCTTTATCTCAAGGTATATATTATTATCTTTAATTTTAAATTTGAATAATTTTAATAACATTTTAATAATATTGCAAACAAGGTGTTCAACAAAGCAAGGCTGATCAATATTTAGAATTAGTACGTAAAGTGGGTATTGAATTGAGAGCGTTACTTTCATCTGTCGATGCTTTGATGGATATATTACCTATATCTGCTCATCGAGAAGTAGAAATGGCGCATAAAGTTCTTAGTAAAGATATGGCAGAACTTGTAACAGCTATGAAACAAGCTCAAAAATATAGTGCTACTACATTAGATGCTGAATATCGAAAGTAAGTGCTTTTTTCTTAATAATGCATATTAGCTTATTGCCATATAAATTTCAAAAAAAATTTAATGTAATTTCAGAGGGATGCTCTCAGCGGCTCACATTTTAGCAATGGATGCGAAAAATCTTTTAGATGTAATCGATTCGATACGTATTCGTTATCCATATGTAGATAATCAGATTTGCCAAAATCAAAATCATATTAATACTTCACAAGAATCGATGTCAGAAAATCGTATTCGTTCCAGTCAATCTGGAGAACAATTTCTAAGGAGAAGTCAATCGAGCGAACGTCAAGGTACTACGTTTAGACAGAGTCAAAGCGGTGATCTTTTACATAGAATGGGTCAATCCGTCGATCGTTCATTGCAGGTAAATTTATATCTCGAAATAAATTTTATATAATATATAAAATTTTTTATATAATGTAATTGTATTCAAAAATTATTGTAATATTTTTTTATTTTTTTAAAATTGTAATTATATAATATTATATATATGTAATTTATATCATTTTCTACTTAGGGTAGTCAAACTGATATCAGCAGCGGCTCTAGTTTAGAAAGAAGGCATCATATCGTTACTAATAGTCTTGAACGCAATTCAACAACAAGAAGACAAATGACAACAAATAGTTTAGAAAGAAAAAGACCATCATTGTCTTGTAATATCAGTCCCATGAATAATTCGGTTAATTTGCCACCAATGGTACCAGTTACCTGCAATTTAGTCCAAACAGTTGGACCTGTTATTCATCCAAGTCAAACAGTTACAACAGGTATTAATCAACAGTCAGTGTTTACAACTAATAATAAAACAAATGAAAATGCAACAACTGATAGCTAACAACGAGGTGCCTTTGCATTAAGGTATAAGTAATAATATCAAATTATTTATTGCATGAATTTGTACGAAATTTCTCATACTCATTACTCAATTATATTTTTTATTTATTAATTTCAGGAAAACTTCGAAGTAATAATTATATGTATATAGTCTACATCGTACAAGTTACCCATTTACATCTCATACATAACTCAGCAGCAAGAGATTTAATATTTATGCTTTATAGCTCTTTTTAACATTTAATAAACTTTGTCTAAACGTACTTATAGATAAGGCAGTATTCGTTAAATATAACATAGATTAGGATTATCACGAAAAAACATAAGTCACAGCTGAAAAGAAATCACTCCAAAGTTTTAGAATTATTATTAATTTGTTATTATATAATAATCATGTGTGAATTGGGTGATGCAAAAGATAGCCTTGAGTCTAAAAAATTATAAACATAAATAATTTTTATTGATATCAAATGTAACATTTATATGAAATAAAATATTTAAATTTTATTGCATATATTATAATATTATTAAAAATTAATTATAAAAATATTATCATTATAATATAATCTATAATCTATCGCTTCAAAGATTGTCTTATTGTATCACCCAGTATGTAGTTGAATAATTCTATATATATACATAAATATAGATATTTATAAATATATATTTAAATGAATAGTTCAAAATATTTTATGCAAAAAATTTAATTTCATATAGGATACAATTTTACAAAATTATTTTTACGAATTTATAATTTATAATAGTCTATTTCCTGCTAAAAGGAGTGATTATAATTGTAAAAAATGGGACTGAATGTTATTTCTATTAGGTAATTATTTTGTAATTCATATCGATTTGTGAAATTTATATAAAATGTTTTATAAAAAAATGAATCATTCTTCAGCGGCAAGTCAGTTCCTATAAAATATTTATACAAATTTCATCATTGCATAAGAATAGTATTGATAACTTGTCAACATAATGCGCTTATAACGGCAGTGCATTTACAAATCTATTAAATATTCCATAAATTAAATATTCCATTTTTATACATTTATTTTTTTACATTCCTGGGAAGAAATTTAGTTTCATATTGGATTAAAATTATTGTCCATAATGTTTGACTGATTTTTATATTGCTCATTATTTTACACAACTATAGTTTTGAATACTATGTGCCAAGGCGTATTTATATGTACAATATGAACAAATTTTATTATTGACTATACATGTACAGTAATATTTTTAATGTAACATCCCAGGAATTTGTAATTTACGATTATAATGTTCGACACTGCTATTGCATCGAAAATATAAAAGATTTTTTTTAGATTTACTTTAATTGTATATAAATAAATATTCAAAATTTGTATCATTTAATAATAATATTAATTATTGAGTTACAAGTATTATTTCTAGTAAATATTATTTTTCACATATATTTTATTATATTCAATTTTTTTTTCCACAAATTGTAGTCACTTATTTATTAGAATTCTATTGAATAAATATTCTATAGAATTTTATATTAAATATTTAAAAGTTTTCAATCCTATATCTTTCATGATGCATGTTTATATCATCTTCAATATTGTAATACTACATAAAATATATGTTTTGTTTTATAATTCTTCTTTATACACAATAATAATAGTTTTTAAGTATGCCATGACGAATATTACAATATATGATGATGTAATAAAATTAAAATATTGTTAGAAAAGAAACTTTTGTTTTTATAAAACATATGTTGGATAATTTAAAAAATTGTATATGTGACAAATTTTATTAGTGAACTGATTATATGTTATAAATTTTTCAATTATCATTCAATAAACTTACTCAATTATTTGTATATATACATACACACGCGCGCGCACACACATACACACACAAAATCAATTTAAAAATAATAAAAGCTTAATTTATTTTAGTTTTTTTATAGCTAAATATCTTCCACAATCATACAAGATTTCGTAATTTGTATAACAAAATAATAAATATATAAACTATTTATAATTGTTAGTATATATAAAGATAGTTGTAATTTTTTTTTTTTAAGAAAAAGGATAAAATAACTACTGAAATGAAAATATTCTAGCATCATTGAATTACTGTTATTAATTAAGTAATAAAAATTAAGACACAATATTTAAAAAATATTTATAAAATTGTGTAAATGTAACTATGTATTATTACTACAGACAAAATAATAAATAGATAATTTCAGCATTATGAATACTTTTAAGATTGCCACATAATAGCACAATATCAACAACAACAAGTCAGCATCAACATATTTACATTATTGTATATATTTTAATAAAAATGCGTCCATTTAATTAATAATCGTAGCATGATATTGATATTTTTTTATGTCATTTCGACAATAAGTGTTTATTTATTTTATTTAATTATGTGTAAGGCGAATTAACAGCTCATGAACCAATTGTAACTCTTCCCTTTTTTCTTCTGTTCTTTTTATACTTTAAAAAAATCTCCTATCATATTATTAACAGAGTATTCTTCATCACTTATAATTATATTTCATTATTTAATTTAACTGATTATAATTTAATAATATCTAGTTTACTTTTGCAAAAATCAACTAATTAAAACTGAAAGTAATATTCAACAATGGAACAATGGAAATAATGGCTCTTCAGAAAAAATATAAAAGATATAAATGTAAATATAAATATAAAATAGATAGCCTGATTAATTCTCCAGACTCTTGGAGAGAAAAAAGTTAGAAGTTTGAATTATGACATTGTATCATTAAAATGATTTTTACTTAATTATTTACCATATTTTGAACTATAATATTTAATACCATTAATAATTGAACATCTAGCATATTTAGTTAGAAGAGCATTAACATTCATTTTGTTTGTTGTTAAATTTCTAAAAAAAAAAAATAATTTATGAAATGAGAACAAAATTTAATATTTTATAAATTTTTACTTACATTATATAAGGTGTTATTTCTTGAACTGTCCATTTATTTTTTGCTTTAAAAAGTTCATTAAATCTTTCATTAATATCTATTGGCAAATTAGCTTCTGTGAATGATACCACTTCTCTTGTCATTGTTGAGTTATTCCATTTGATAAGAGCAATTCCTTTTAAATATTCTTCTTTTGGTTCTATTTCTATGTACAAACAAATATAATATAAGCATATTTTATATATAAATATTAACTATAAATTTTTTTATATAACTTTCAATTTACTTTCTGGTGTACCAATATGCCATGATTTCATAAATTGTTTATATTCAGTTATTGGAGAAACAGCAAGGAGTACTTTTGCCAAAGTCTTACAACATTTTTCCTCATTATACCTTATAACATTATAACTTATAATAAATTAATAATTTTTATTAATATATGCATAAAATTATGTTTACCTATATAATGATGTTCCATCCTTTTTTGACTTCTCACTTACTTGTGTATATCTTGCAAATACAGCCTCAAAAACTGATTTAAAAATAAATTCTTTCAAAGATTCATATGTAAATTCTTTATCTACTTCATTTAATGCCCAACTATTTTCTTCCAAAATATCTAACATAAGTGTTAAACTTCGAACTTCAAATTCAAATGATATTAGACGAAAGTAACCTTAAAATCAAAAAATAGAGAATAATATGATTATTTAAAATATTAATATATGTTAATTACTTATATTATTATTTGATGTCAATTATTAATTTTATAAGAAAATATAATACCATCAATATTAACTATTAAATAATCATTTAAGGCTTGAATTAGTTCATCTTCACTGGCTTGTATTTCATTTTGTAATCTGTGCCAATTATATAAAAGTTCATGACATATTGATGATTCATATTCCATTCCTTTAAAAGATGTGGGCTCAAGTATATTAAGTAATTTTTCCCATTTAGGCTTACATTCTTTTGTCTAAAATATTTTAAACACAAATAATATTTTATTCATAAATAATTTTATAAATATTATTTTAAAATTTTTTTACCTCATAATATGTATGAAAAATTCCACAAATATTATAATATTTTATTATTCTGTCTGTATTTACTTTTGTTTGTTCAAATAAATTTAATTTTGGTACTAATAAACAAGAATTAGATGTTCCTGCTTCTCTAATATCATATGTTCGATTTCTTGTACATAATACTGCAAAATCTTTCTTATTACCCTGAAATGTTAAACTGAAATGTTGCAAATAATATTAAATCATTATTAAAAAATTGACAAAGTTAAATGAAGATATATACCTGTCTCCTTTATTTATTGCCTCTATTAAATGTTCATCAAGTTCTAATAATTTTATATGTTTTTCTATATCATGTTCTTGTGCAGAATATAAAATTTGCGTTACATTCTGCAAATCAGATTCCTTAATAACAGCTAATTCTAAACTTTTATGTATTTCTTCTGTTGTTCTCGAATACCTATAAAAGTAAAAGTTAAAATATATCAAATATATATACCATAAATATATTAAATATATTTATTCAATATTTATTTGCACATGAAATTTTATGAAAATATTTTGTCGTTACCTAGTCTTTGCAGTTTCCATTATATGAAATTTGAAAAGATTACACGATAAAGTAAAATTATAAATTGTAGAAAGATAAATCTTTTCATTTAAATTATTAATTACGATATATATTTTACATATAAGTATAATATAAAAATAAAAAGTTATATTAAATTTTTTTAGATAAACTTTTTTACCCGCCAATCTTTGTCCAATCGTAGAATAAATTAAACTGAAGATGGAGAAGTAGTTTCGATTTATCGAGAACTATACAATATCACCAGCAGCCATATTAATTGCCATTGCGCTTATTAAGAAACTTTATTGTGATCAAAAAGTCTGAATTTATACAATTTTCTTTTTCGTTGAGGTATGTACGATATTGATCTGAAGCAACATAAAGTTATAATTATTTTTATAAAAAAAGGTAAAATTATAAACATAAATTATGTTTTGAATATAATTTATATTGCTTGTTTTCTATTTTATGTTCGATTACTTTCTAGTACTACTTTTTTAATAATACATTTTGATAATATACTTACTTTCTACTATTCATTAATTGTATTAATGCATATTAATATTGGACTCGTTATGAAATATTATTATTTAACGTGCAAAAGAAATTTTTTATCTGAATAAATAATGGAACAAAAATCAACCTTAAATAATCCAAATTAAGAGACATATCAACAAGATATAATGATAGTTTAATGAAAACTCTCTTCAATTATAATCGAAAATATTGATTTAAAAATGTTGATTTAAAATGTTTTTAAGTATATATTATATTTCTTATATGTTATTATAATTAATGATTTAGTGTCATTTAATGATGCTATTCTTTTTAGAAATATAAGTATCCTATAGGACACAAACATGTCAAATGATGTGAACACCCAAGCTGATAAGGTATGTTTTGTTTAAAATATCATGCATGCTATATTTTTTTATAACAGTTGGGATATGTGAAGTGTATTTGAAGAAATATATGTGCTGTTACAATTGGGCTGCTATCATAACTGCAATTTTATTAATTCTTCTAATTGGAAAACAGGAAAATTATAGTAAACAGTTTGTTGATTAATGCTAATTTTTCTTTGGATCAAGCCCAATGAGGACGAAAATATCGATAAAGCAGAAGAAGAAGAAGGCACTTCGTCTATTGATCTGCATGCGGTACCTATTTCTGCAAATTAAAATTTTGCTGCTTAATGATCTTTTTCTGTTTTTTATATTCCTTGTCTTTCATTACTAACAGTAGGATAGTTGTATGGTAGTTAAAATATTAATTCAACATATAATAATTAACATAATACAATATAATGTATAAGTTTTGGGATAAATTTTTAGCAGGAAAGTGGAATTATATACGGAGGTTGTGAAGGACCAAATGCAATGTATGTAAAACTTGTTAGCAGTGATGGACATGAATTTATTGTTAAACGTGAACATGCTTTAACTAGTGGAACAATAAAAGCAATGTTAAGTGGTCCTGGTCAGTTTGCAGAAAATGAAGCTAATGAAGTTAATTTTCGAGAAATTCCGTAAGTCCTTTTTTTTTATTTCAATTTCAATAAAATTATTATATTCATAAAAAATAGAGAAATAAAAAATTATTTATATTTTTTATTTACAGATCTCATGTATTACAAAAGGTTTGCATGTATTTTACCTACAAAGTACGCTATACAAATAGCAGCACAGAAATACCAGAATTTCCTATAGCACCAGAAATTGCATTAGAATTATTGATGGCTGGAAATTTTTTAGATTGTTAAATGTCACGAATGATATTAATAAGCAATCAGTTTTGAGCAGTCAGTATAATAAAATTATTTATCATAATTTTAACATCAAAAATTCAATTATATTGTGACATATATTAAAAAATAATTCATAATTCGCATTTTGTATTTTGCAATATAGTTTAATATTATTTTAACAATAAATTATTTAAATTGTTTAAATGATTTATTTATAAACAAATTTAAAAATATATATCTGATAAATGCTTAAAATATATATATAATAATAGAGAAATTTCAATTAATCAATGTGATCTAAATTTATTGCATGTGCTACTTGATTAACTATATATTCAATAATATAACAAATTATTATATTTAAACAAAATTTATATTAGAAAATGATATACTGATGTAATATGAATTGTATATTCATGACTGTCTGATACATAACTATAAACAAAAAAAATTGCATCATGTACAATTAATATAGGATTTAATCAATAGATTATATAACAAGGAGATTGTTATTTTTGAAATGGTGTCTATATTAATACATTATAGTTATATTTTTTATTATATATAAGAATATTTATTTTTGATTTCTATTCAAATTACAAATTTTACTTCTTATTTATTATTTTCTGGCAACTTTAATCATGTTTCATATTTTCCATGTAGAAAATAATTAACATACATTTATAAATAAAATATAATATGTAGTATATAGAAATATTATGTGATATAGTGTAAGAAAAAAAACACGACACATTTTTATAGAATCTTTATAAAAAAATGTGTGTGTATCTGTGTGAGACTGTATTCTAATATAATTAATTATATAAATTAAAATTAATGAATGTTTTTATTTCTTACCTTTTTTATAACAGAAATTTTAATTTCATTAATGTACATTTCTTATTTAAATAATTAAATGATACAATATTTAACTTAATTATATATTTCTTGATAGATTACAATTTTATTTACTTTTTGTATCTTTTTCAATATCCTTAAATTTTGCTTCTAATCGTTTTGAATATGCTGCTAATTTATATGCAGCTTGTTCTAGTTTAGTTACACTATCATCAATTTCATTGATATTATCTAAAATTGGTTGTAACTTTTTATATTTTTCGTTTAAAGAATCCAAAGATTGGGCTACACTAGATGATATTGTTTTTAACTCTGTATACTTCGCAATAGTTTCTTTATTTAATCGTTCTAATAAACGATAATCGGCATGAGTAGCGGTAAGTTCTTCTTGTAAATATTCTCCAGTTTTTTGAAACATCGTATTAGCTAAACGACTAAGATTCGGATCATGAGGATCCAATGCTTCGAAGCTACTTGTACTTGTCGAAAGAGTAGTTCCACGTTTTGGCGATTCACATCTTAAATTATGATCTGCTGAATTTTCCAAAAAAGGTGGTGGTTCACTTTCAATGTCTTCTCTTAATGGATCTTTGACAGATGTCATTGTCACAGTAAATAATTATCTATTTAATAAGAAATTATGTAGTATATATAATTTTTCTTGTCTCACAGACACATAATTCAGGACAAATGTCAAAATTATGGAAAATTAGTTGTTTTATTACGCTATCTATTATTTTTTGAACGAAATATTTTGCCGATAATACAGTAATTGTATTTGCTGATTGCCAATAAAATGTTTTTATAAATACTTAAAATCACAGTTATTCAGAATTATCTTGTATGCATATTTGTTTAAAATAAATGAATAGAGATAAATAAATATAAATAAAGAAAAGAAATAATGGAGAAAAGATAAAGATAAGGTAAAAATTGTGCAATCAGCGCCATCTTCAATGTGCCATAAATAAAACATCATATAAATAAGAAAAGCTAATAATACAAAAAAGACAAAAATAGAATAAGAATTGACTGTTCTTCTTGAATGCTTTATTTTATTATATCTTTGAAAAGATATATTTGAGATGGCGATCAATTGTTATGCTTTTTCTATTCTTTTATGATTTAATTCTGTTATTATATTAGCTTAATCTACAGCACTTTAAAGATAGTGCTGATTCCAAAATTTTTTTCTATTTCTATCTTTTTTTTTTTATTTTCTTTTTTTATTTGCAAAATTTATATGCTGAAAGATTCAAAAATTCAAAATATTTCAATATTTTAATATTATTTTATTAATATGTAAATCATTCTTTTTTACAATTATAGGAACATATTCATTTTATGGCACAATAATTTAATATATAAATTATTATTTAAAAGATAATGACTCATTAATTGTGACTATTAAATATAAATGTAAATTTTTTTTAAAATAAACATATTTATAATTAATTTTAAATATAAAATAAGTATTTAGTTTGGGCTTTGGTTTAAACTTTGGTAACCAGACACCACCATGGCTTTATGTTTAAAATAATTGAATATAAATAAAATGTTTGAATATAAATAAAATGTTTTGCTTGAAATATTTTACATTTTCTTATAAGAAATATTTCAATATTTATTATGAAGATTTATATCCATTTGGATTATTTTGTTGCCATCTCCATGTATCTAAACCTATAATAAATATATTAAAATAATTAATTGTAAATTATTAATTCCTATAACAATTGCAATTTCATATATTATTGAAATAGTAACTTACACATATTGTCTATATTTTTAGTAGCTTGCCAATCTAGTTCTTTATTAGCTAAACTAGCATCTGCATAACTTACAGAGATATCACCTGGTCTGCGTTCGATTATCTTATATGGTATATTTCGTCCTGATGCTTTTTCAAATGCTCGTATAACTTCTAGTACTGAATATCCTTTTCCAGTACCTAAATTAAACACTTTAAATCCTGTAAAATTACGAATTTTTTGATAAATCATTGCTTTTACATGGCCCATAGCTAAATCCGTAATGTGAATATAATCTCGTATGCCTATAAATTAAGCAATAAGCATAAATTAATACAATATATTAATTTCACATAAATATTTTTATATCTTTTCTATTTACCTGTTCCATCAGGAGTATCATAATCATTTCCATAAACATATAAAATTTCTCTTTTTCCTACAGATACTTGAGCAATATATGGCATTAAATTATTTGGTATTCCATTGGGATCTTCTCCAATTAATCCAGAAGAATGAGCTCCAACTGGATTAAAATATCTCAAAGATATAACAGACCATGCCTAAAATGAATTTCAATTTGATTAAAATATTTTAAAAATATAATAAATCATTATTTCCTTACATATTACAATAAATATTTTATTAATAATATGTAAGACAATGAAAACCAAAATCATCACCTTATCTGAAATGCACAAATCTTTCAAAATTTCTTCAACCATATATTTTGTTTTTCCATAAGGATTGGTACAATTACCAGTTTTCATATCTTCAACTAATGGTAGTTTTTCTGGAATGCCATAAACTGTGGCACTACTTGAATAAATAAAACATTTCACATTGAATTCTTTCATAACTTTTAATAAATTCAATGTTCCACAAACATTTGTTTTATAATATTCTAAGGGTTTTTCACAAGATTCACCCACAGCTTTTAAAGCAGCAAAATGTATAACAGAATGAAACTTGTACTGAAATAAGATTATTTTAATCATTTTTTAATTTTAATTATAGTATATTTATTCTTAATAATATTCATTATTATACCTTTTCAAATACTTTTTGTAATTCATCCAAATTTGTTACATCACATTGAACAAATATAATTTTTCTATTCGTTAATTTTTCTACTCGTAATAAACATTCTGGTTTTATATCATCATTTCCTGCATACAAATATAATATAATTATTATATTATTAATTTATCTTCAGTTCAATTAAAAAAATATATTTATTTTCATATATATATATATTAGTATATAATATACAATTAAGTACTATAACTATCAATATTGTGTTTTATATATGTTCATAAAATTACTAATCCATTAAATTATTATTGATCAACTATATTAATTAATTGATATTTTTTTAAAATCATTATTACTTTTATTAGAATACACATGAGTGTATAATATTAGTGTATAATATTAGTGTGTAATATTATTTTTAAAAATAATATTATAAGGAATATTATTATATTATTATATTATATTCATTATTTTTTTAACTGATTCGTTATTTCTTACCTTTATAAGCATTACTAAGGTTGTCTATTACCACCACCTCAAAATCTGCTTGTAATAATTCCAATACCGTATGAGAACCAATGTACCCAGCACCTCCCGTCACCAATACATTCCAAGATTTGTTTGTCATTATTTCACTTTGCTTTTCTGTTATTTTTAATACAATATTCTACAATTATTGTGCTCTTACTATATTAAAAGGGAACTAAAAGGGAACTACCATTGATATATACATAAACAAAATGATATTAATACAGTATCAGGTAAAAATAATAATGTTGAATAATACTGAATACTAATCATTTTTAAATATTTTATCGCTTTATAAATTAAATATATAAATGATTTAAAATGACTGCATTTATTTGACATTAAAAATCTATACTACATAGTAAATATTTAATAGAAATAATTTTTACCTTTGCCACACATATTCAAAAATAATGTACATAGATATATGTAATTTATATTAATTAAAAAGAAACTTTATCATAACAATAACTATACATATATATATCAAAATTATTTTAATAAAAATAAAATTACCATTATATCTTACATATATATGATACGTAAGCAATTAACCTTATTTCCCAATCGCTAAAAGACTTTATATTTAATAAAATAAACATGATAAAAAACTATATACATTATATATAATAATTTAAATTATAATTTAAATTATAATTTAAATTACACAATACAGATATCTTATCAGCGTTAATATCAAATTATAATATAAGATATTAAATTAATATTTAAAAAATATTATCCGTAAATTTCATTTTGATATTTGTCAATTTAAACTTAATTTATAAATTAAAATAAATTTATATATATATAATATAGTAAAATACATATATATACAAATCTATTATATGGGCAAATCAAATACTGATATTTTTATAAATAATTTCTTTATCATAGATTTAGCATATTATATCATAATTATATAAAGTGTGAGCTAATATTTTAACTTTATACAGTAATTAAAATCAATAAAAATGAATTTTATAAAAAAAAAAATTATATATCCAATTTAAATAAAAAAAGACTCACTTGAAAATTTGTAAATTTTATATAAACTACAAAAATTAAATTAAATTACAATAATAATTTACTATAATTTTTAATATGATAATTTAAACTAACAAATTTCACAATGAAAAAATAATTAGGCAAAAGAGATTTACAATTTGAACCGAACGGAATTGGAACCGTTTTAAACTACTTTTATTTTACATAAATTTCAATTTTATCAGTATTTATTTTTCAGGTAGACTTTGGGCACGTGTAAGAAAAAATAGGTCACGGAATGTCGATTTGTTGATTAACAATGGGTTTTTAAATAAGTGATATCATTCGCATATATTTTTACATTTATATTTATTTAATTCTAAATTGAGTTTAACTTTTGATGATAAAATTTTTAAAATTAAAATTATATAATTAATTTTTTATAGATATAAATAAATAAGTTATCATATTAATAAAAAAATTATGTTATATATATTATTGAATTTATATATGAAAAAATTTTCTTTGTACATGAAAAGATTATTTAAATTTTATTTCATTTATAATATAAAAATATGAACTGTTTTTTTATATAAGTATATATAATATATAATAATTTTTTTAAAACATTTATTATATATATATGTACAATATATTTCAAAGGAAAGAATATTTTGTATAATATGTAAAAAATTAATATAAAATTATTCTTTTTGTTTATAAACTTATTTAAATATTTCAGCATATTTAAAATTATTATATATATTTAAAATTATTTAATATAATAAAATTTTAGTTTAAAAATCTATTGCACAAAAAAATATCATTGTTAACCTCTTCAACCATGATCTCATATGTGCATTCGACGATCGATTAATTTATTCGACAATTGTTGATTAAAATCAGCGATCGATCGGTATTTGTCGATTAAAATCGAAAATCGTATCAAATAAGTTAAGAAAATGTTTTTTTATATATAAATACAATAAATAGTTCACATTTTTATATCATAAATAACAAAATATTTAAATAACAAGTTTTTGTACGTAAATTTAGATTTATTAATTAAGACAGTATCTGAATATTAATATAACTCATTTTATATTTTGTTAATTTTATTGTTTAAATATAGATATTAAATTAGATATAGATATAGATATTTGAAATTAATAATTAATAAAATAATAATTGACATAAAATTTTAAGTATAATGATGGAATAATAGAGCAACATATTTATATTTTTTAATAATTTTTTTAATAATAAAAGAAGTAAAATATATAAATTTAATGATGATTAAAAATTTTAATTTTGATTTTAATTTTAATTTATATTATTTGTTTATTTGTGTAATTTATGTTATATAATTAAATTATATAATATTTATATAATCAAATATAATATAATAGAAAAGTTAGTAGATCATATGAATTCTCCCATGAATCTCTAACAAATATTAATAATTAATTTTAATTATTTGTGAATATAAATAAAAATATATCAGAGATATGAATATACAGATTCATATAATATATACGTATTAAACTTTAAATAAATTTAAGATGTGAATATGATTTGAAAGTAAAACTCTCGAGAGTTGTTTTCACAAATAGGCACCGTATTATTATCGAATAGTGAAAATTACCGTTAGAAAGTCATTTCAATGAAACATTTGCAAGTAATAATATATACTAATTATATACATAATTTTGAAAATAATTTTCAAGAATTTTATTCTCAAATTTATTCATATACAATAATTTTATCATACATTAATATACATTATATATGCTAAAATGCACTATGTACAATGTACACAATTATTTATGTTAAATTTTTAATAATAAAAATATTAAAAATTGTTGTTACTTAAATAAAAATTATTTATAATTGTAATTTTATTTATATTTAATACATTTGATATATATATATATATTGTTTAATATATATATTGTTATTGTTTATTTAAAATAATTTACAATAATAAGAAAGAGAAAATTAATTAGACAACTTTATGTAAAATATTTTACATTAAAATATTAAAATATTTTATGTATATAGTACTAAATATTTTATTATATTAACAATTTAATGATAAAAAAATATTTTGTATATACATATATTTTTTTTCATAGATGACGGATTTCATTTTTTTGAAGGGATGAATCGAAACTTCGAGAAACATCTATTGAACTGAACCTCTTATACTTTAAAATACTATTCCTTTCTATACTTCCTGCGAGTAAAACATACTATTAAGTCCCCTCTTTAAAGAAGTTGGTCCAATCAGCAGTTACCTTCAAGTTCCCGCGCGTGAACCTTAAACCCCTAGTATTTACAATTGTTTCTTCAGTTATAATTTATAGTTTTAGTGGATGATTTTTGAATAATTATTAATTAAGACCGTTGATTTATCGTATCAGTAAATAAAATGTTATTATATATAAGAAATATTCAATGAGATTATGTGATTTAATATAGATATTCTTTAGATAATTGACAATTAGCATAAACAATAATATATACAATTAAAAAAATAAGATTAATTAAATTATTATATCTTTTTTTTTTGAAACTACTAAGTAAAAAGATTAATATGTAATAAACTAAATCAGTTAAGATTTGACAATAAAGTTTATATCTATTAATCTGCCGTAGTTATGAACGATTTCACTGGAATTCCCCACTCAATGTTACGGCACTGTGCCTCGTGAAATGCGGCGGCCCCGCATCAAGAAAAACAGGGCCCGGTTAAGTGCATTACTCTTGGGAGTGTAATATCGTTGTACTATCCCAGAATTTTGTAACGAAACTAAGTGTTTATAGGTGAAAATTTAGAAGTCATATTTTTATTCTTTTGCAGAACTATGTGTTTGTGTTTTAATCCGATTATTAGCAGTTAGAACATGAATATATCACAAGATTATCTAGAATTATTGTGAAGCGAGAATGTCGATTCTTTAAAACTGTGATGAAAGCAAGGTTATTTGCGATTATGAATATGGAATTTATTCAATATGTTTAAAGAATTCGATAATAAAAAGTCTATTTGATTATTTGAAAATTTGTGAATTATAATTTTTTAAGGCGAAAAGATATTGAACTGAATTAATGTAAGACGCCATAAGCAAAAAACGGAGATGATAAATTTTAGGTAAAAGAAAAAGTAAGTAATATTTTAAATAAATCAAGTGGTAAATAAAGATCATAAGAAAAAGAAGAGAATCAAAAGAAAGAAAGAAACAGAGGAAACAAAAAGTTTGAAAAAGAGAAAACAGAAAGTTTGATGGATGACAAGGTAAGACTTGTGGAGGTAAGGCATATAATACCGCGTGGGCCACCTCTTAAGTAGTAAATCCAATCTTGAGAGAGAGAGAAAGAGAGAGAGAGAGAGAGATCAGGAGAGCAAGAAAAAGAGAGAAGGAGAGACCGTACAGTGACCTAGATTTTACCGGGTCGAATAAGGCAGATCGGTATAAAGAAGTTACTCTAGACTTTCTGAAATGGGACGCAGCGCAGCCTGGAGCTAAATTAGCCGCAATGTCTAATAAGAGTAAGTCCCAGCCGCAGCAGCAGCATCCTTCGCACGTGATCAAGTCGACAGTGGAGCAAGTGCCACCGCGATATCAGCCACCACCACAACCAACCAGTGGTATCCTCAAGAATCATCCTTACTTTGGTACAGGCCCTTCCGTGCCAACCTCAGTGTCTACAATCGGTCAGGGTCCTATCACAACTTTGAATCATCATCAAACTGTGCAATCATCACGACCTGTGCCGCAACAGAAGGATGCACAAAGCAAATATTCACCGAGGATAGAACATCGACATCATCCTCAAAGCGGAAGCACTTTGACTGCGTCAGTTTCGAAAACGCAGCCTCATAGTTATCTTCAAGCCAAGGTCGGCCAAGGTCAGTACCTGCCACCTAACGGTCAGTATCCTACGGTAAACACTGCACAAACACCGCCTCTCAGACAAAGGATCACCGACGACGAGTTTCTTAGGCTGGGACCTGTGGAAATGCTCAAATTTGTTCGCAAGACCGAAAACGATATTGCAAGGCTCGCCGCCGAGCAGAATAGACAGATACAAAATTTGGTGAGTTTTACTGGTTTCTTACCTGTTTTCTCACCTGTTTTTTAATAAAGTAAATTATTTTAAGTAATGCGATATTAGTAAAAGTTCTATTTATACATTGATGAGAGAAAGAATAAATGAAAGAAAGAATAAGAATAATTATAAAACTAATTGTAGTCTTTTCTTTTCTACTGATACTATGATACATCTGTTTTATTACTTAATTTTACGAAAAATATGTGATCATGGATTTTAAGCACGTCACACGGAAGTTTTTGAGGCACTTTTAGGTCACACGAGTTGAGTCCACCATCGTAATTTCAACCAGTCACGCACATGTGAGTCCAATCGCGAATGATTGCTACTACGATCGGATTCTTTTCACTGAAAAATTATCAGTCGAAAATAAATACATATATTTATATAATTAATTTAATTTTATAATAAAAATTAAAAATTTTGTAAAATTTATTTTTTTTCTTATGTATCTTAATTTATGATAGAATTTTTAATTTATGATAAAAATAGCATAAAAATGACGATTATTTACAAATTTCGTATTCTAGCTTAACGAGCTTCGAGCATTAAAGGAGGCAAACCAAAGATTAAGTGATGATAATCAAGAGCTACGAGATCTTTGTTGCTTTTTGGACGATGATCGTCAAAAAGGTCGAAAATTAGCGAGGGA